GTGGCTTCTCCCTGAGAAAGCTCTCAGACGAAAAGATCGACCGGCATCGTCAGCATTGCGGCGGTTTCTTTGCCCATGTGGGTTGCTTTTGCCCTTATTGCCAAAAGAATTTCGTCGTGGACGGGAAGCAGGAAGATATCGAGACCATCAAGAAGCACATCATAGACTGTCCCGATAAGAAGCCGCCTAACATTACACCGTTTGAGATCTATCCGGAAGGCTACTGGAAGGATAGTGACCAGCCCACGGATCCGCTCTACATCGGTTCGAATGCTACTCGGGATCTTGTTCGCCGACAGCCACGGCGCCCTGCTCCCAACCGCTTTTTGAGCTACCCGTTGGCGTGGCACGACAAGCCTGGCCCGAGTCCCGTGCAAGATCCTCCGGCAGAGTGCACGATTCGTGGGTGCCTCGAACCTCTTTTTGGTCTCACGCCGTCTGAGGTTCTGGTTCACTACGAGACGAAGCACGGCGGCATGCCCCTGAAGCAATGCCCTCTCTGTCGCCTCGATTTCCGAGTCCCAGAGGAAGAACGTAAAGCGAACGAGAACCTTCCAGAGATTCAAGCACGAATCTTCCAGGTCCGGCATATGGAATGCCACGTCTACGAGCTTTGGAAAATCTTGGAGGACAAGGACATCCCTCATATACCGCAGCGAGAGCCGTTCGGCCCCGGTCACAGCATGTGGGATCCCGACAACGAGAGGGCCGTAGATCGACGCGACAAGAGGTGCCCGTATTTTGAGAGGTGCGGAGCTATGGTGGGATTCATGAACCAGCGACAACTGAACCATCACATGGAGACGGCGCATGGTGCCGAAGACTTCGTTATCGGTAGGCAGCCGAACAGGGAAGCCGAACTGGCAAGATTGAGGGAAGAGCGCAAGAAGCAGAGAATACGAGAGGGCAAGCAGCCTATCCCAGGCACGAACACGGGTGCTCAATCAGGACCACCAGGGACTGCATCTACAGACACTGGACTCTTTGAACAGCCTGACAACTCTCGCCCTGGAGGCCGCCGGGATGTAAACCGTCCTCAGGAGTCTCAGCCTGTGACGGATCCCATGCAAGGTGTTGAGATCGGAGAGTCACAAATTCCGCCTTCTGGCCAGCGCACACCGCCATATGGTCCCAGAGAGTGTCAAGGAGCCAACACGGGCGGCCATTCGGGAGGCATCAGTGGAGGCGGAGGTGGCAACGACGGAGGTGGCAGTAGCAGCAACCCTCCCAAGGTTGTGGACCCTTCGACGACAAAGCCTGTGACCACGAAGCCTACTCCGTCGAAGCCTGTCCCGTCGAAACCTACTCCCTCGAAGCCTACTCCCTCGAAGCCAGTCCTGACGAAGCCTGTCCCGACGAAGCCTACTCCCTCGAGGCCTACTCCCTCGAAGCCGACATCCAGTCAACCTACATCGGAGCCGACAGTTAAGCCCCCAGCCAAGCCCCGGCCTCCAACCAGACCTAAGCCTGTCGGACCCGTCCCTGTTCCGAGAAATGACGTTCCCACAAGCGGCTTTGTCCCTGATGATGACATGTACTGCTCACGATGCTTCCGCAAAGCCCCTAAGCGAGGCCCAAGAGGCATCAAGCGCGGTGACCCGGACAGACAAGCCCAAGTCGATGTAAGAGAACCCACTTCCTGCGCTCATGACCACGTTCATGACTGACCTAATTTTCCTCACAGGCCCACTCGGACCCGAACCGAAGTTGTCGCATTCCTGCAAAGGAGGGGACGTTTGAAGTCGATGAAGAAGATTGGCCAGTCTTGCCGAGCAGAGTCGGTTGGATCAAACAGCCGAAGAATGTCCGGCTCTCCAAACTCAAGGCCGACTTCTTGGATGAACACCCTGAGCTGGCGAAGACCATGTGCCCTACAGATGGAAGCAAACGCACCAATCTGACCTGGCAGCACGACCCCAATCACAATGATAATAAGGACAACTGGCGTCTTCCCTTCCCTGGTGATGACGACGATGGCGAGGATGATGAGGATGAGGATGAAGACGGGGTTAACGAGAATGCAGACGGCAACTTCATAAACGATGAAGAGGATGATGACGAGGACGAGGAGTACTATGAAGAGGTTGAAGATGCAGATGGCAACAAGACGATACGGCGCAAGACTCGCGGGGTTCGTTCGATGGGGCTTCCTCGCGACGAAACGTGGAAGGACACAGGTGAAGAGGATGATCTGAGCGTGGCAAACTCCAGCGATTTGGTGCCGGAAACTGCGTCTGGGGATGAGGCACCAAGCAACACTGGCGATAAGCGCAAGCGCGACGAGACGGATGCTCAGGGGCGTGCCGGGTCACCCAAGAAGACAAGGGTGGTTGAGGATGAAGACGAGTTGGGGGATGCTTGAGACTGCTGAGAGGGACTGTTGATCATGGATTAGACGGATGGCGTTAGGGTCTCTTTTGGGGGCAGATCAGTAATCATGAAGACTTGTCCCATTCTTAATGATGATGTGTTCTTGAAGACTTCGGATGCCGCAAAGTGCCCGCCGATCGCCGAAGCGGTGGACCCGACCCGACAGAGCCCGGGAAAAGTGGAATCACTTCCCACCTCCATCAGCCACCACCTGATTGGCCAAATATTTTCTGAGCCCATCCATCCCGCCAGGCCGTGTCGTCCGCATGATTCTTTCAATGTTCCCACGCTCTTGAACTTCTCGCCCGCCCACCCGACCGACGACGCCCCGATCACCTCGCCGGCTCACGACCTCCGTCCCCAGCCCCTCTCAACGGACCGATCGAAAGCTTCGCGCATGGATCAGTGAGAAGCACCCGCTGTCGACCGCCGTCCTCGCCCTCCGTCCTCGCCCTCGCTCTCCCCTCTACAGGCAGAGACATGAGCGCAGACACTGAGCAGAGCAAGAACCATGCGGCCAGCTCCCAATACGCTCTTGCGCCCTCGTCTTCTCGATAATGTGTGTCGCCAATGCCTCCACCAAGCCTCCAGCTCCCCTCGCGGCTTGGTCTCCTCGCCATTAATCCTCCGGCGCGCCGCTTCCACGACGGCCCCCAAGGCCGCCCCCGCCGTGCGTCTTAGTGCGAGCTACTTCCTCCCCAACAGCGTCCTGGACCGTCCTCGACCCTCAGGAGCCCGAAGCTCTTCCGTCTCCGCCTCGGCCTCGATCGCCTCTTCCTCCTCCTCCTCCAACACACCATCCGAGCCGAACCACCTCGCCGTAACCCACGAACTCCCCCACCGCCGTCGCCAGGCCGCGAAACGCAAAGCCGCCGCTGAAGCCGCCGCCTCCTCTTCACCCGACGTACCCCTCCCTCAAGATGCCTCCTCCGCCCTCACCAGCGTCGCCGAACGGCAACCCGCCCACTCCGCTCGTCGCATCTTCTCGACCCTCCTCTCCCTCTCGAAACCCCGCCTCTCCGCGCTCGTCGTGCTGACCGCAATGGCTTCCTACGCGCTGTACCCAGTCCCCGCCTTCCTCTCCCCCGCCATCACCGAGTCGCCTTCGCTCAGCCCGTTGACGCTGCTGTTCCTCACCACCGGCACCGCCCTATGCTCCGCCTCGGCCAACTCCTTGAACATGCTCTACGAGCCCTCCACCGACGCCAAGATGACCCGCACAAGAAATCGTCCTCTGGTCAGAGGCCTGCTCTCTACGCGCGCCGCCGTCATGTTCGCCGTCGCCACGGCCCTCACCGGCGTGGGCGCACTCTACTTCGGCGTCAACCCGACCGTCGCATTCCTCGGCGGCGCCAACATCTTCATCTACGCGGGCATGTACACCCCGATGAAGGCCATGAGCGCCGCCAACACCTGGCTGGGCGCCGTCGTCGGTGGCATCCCCCCGCTGATGGGCTGGGCAGCGGCCGCAGGCGAGACCGCCTCAGGCGACGGCTCCTGGCGGGAACTCCTCCTCGCCAGCGACGGCAGCTCCATTGGCGGCTGGCTGATGGCCGGTCTGTTGTTCGCCTGGCAATTCCCGCACTTCATGGCCCTCTCGTGGCCCATCAGGGAAGAGTACAAGGCGGCGGGCCTGCGCATGCTTGCGTGGACCAACCCCGCCCGCAACGCCCGCGTTGCGCTGAGGTACAGCATTGCCTTCATCCCCCTCTGCGTGGCGCTTTGCGCTGCCGGTATGACGGAGTGGAGCTTTGCCGTGACGAGTTTACCGGTCAACGGATGGCTATCGTGGCAGGCCGTGCGGTTTTGGAAGTACGAGGGCCACAAGGGCTCGGCCAGGGGTCTGTTCTGGGCCAGTGTCTGGCATCTGCCCGTCGTCATGGTGCTGGCGCTGCTGCAGAAGAAGGGCATGTGGAGTCGTGTGTGGAATAGTGTCATGGGCAGCGACGAGGATGAATGGGAAGACGACGAGCTAGACGAGATGCCTTTTACTCCACCCGCCCCGCGCAGACAGTGGTAGAGGCGGCAAGCATAGAACTTGCCATGTATCATAGTGTGCTCTTTTGTCATGGAAAGAAGCGGTTCTATCGGGAGGGCCTCGGTCTAGGATCCCGGGTTCAAGATACCGACCTCACTCTGTAACGTTGTGTTTGTGTGTGTTGTTACGACTAGAAGACGCAGCTGACCGAATAGACGTTTCGATTGTGAACTTCAAATCATTTGGTTGCATTTCTCCGGTCCCTCCCCCTTTTCATACCAGCCACCATCATCTTGGTATCTATAGATGCTAATGTACACAACGATGACTCCTTGGGTGCTTCTCCGGCCGTTATCATTACCAAGGCAAGTCATATTGCCTGTGTGCTGTTGTCCCCGTCTCTCAAGCCACCCTGTTAGAGGAGCACGCACTTTCCACCCATCTTTCTTGTCAACGGTATATCCGGTTGTATCGGCCATCCCAACGCCTGCAACGCCACCCTTATTGTCCATGACCGGTGCAACATGGGCCTAGGGCTAAAAAAGAAATAAAAGCAAGATCCTGTGTAAAAACGAAAAAGCCTCCGAGTTCAAACTTGTTGTTGTAAACGAGCGTTCAATCATTCTGATAGAAAGGAAACATAACGACACCCTCACATGGGATGTTGGCCGCCACCGCCGGGACGGTTGATGATGGCGTCGATGCCCATGTCCACGCTCGGCAACCTCTGGCCGTGTTGATACATTTGTGGGCCGGGTGAGACAGATGGTGACTGGCCTGGGTATCCGCCGTTGACCGAGGCATTCGAGGAAACAGAGCTGTTGTATCCGTGATGGGCGCCCGCGTGGCCGTAGCCGTATTGTCCGGCATGGAGAGGTTGGAGATGTTGGGAGAAGGAGGTGACGTAACCGGCGGCCGAGGTGGTGCTGCCGCCGCTGGAGTGGCCGGAGGACATCTCCGGGCTACTGTAGGACGCGTCTAGCTCGTCAACTGGGGTTAACCCGAGGCCGCTGATGCCGCTGTCATCGTCATACCCTGGTGGTAGTGGTTGCCCCGATTCCAGGCGCTCCCGTCTGGCCCCGGCGCGGGCCGCACTCTGAAGATTCTTGAGTCCGCTGGACATGCACTGCAGAGGCTTGGTTAGCAGATGCGTCGTAAATCTCGTTGGTGTCATCATGGTTGAACATACCTTAGACTCAACAACGTTCCACTTCTCTCCGGTGCGTGCTGCGAGAGCAGACCAAATCTCCTTGCGCATGCTCATGTACTCCTTGGCCAAGCGTTCGAGCTTGCGGTTGTCCCAGTCGTCGGCACCCTTGCGCTCCATCAGACGCTCGTGGCGCTTTCTGCAGGCGTTGGGGGTCTTGTTTGGGAAGTAGGCCATCTGGATCTGACCCCAGTTCAGGCCCTGAGAACGGGCCGAGAGAAGTTGTTGGTCGTCCTGCGGCGTCCAGGCCCCGGAAGAGGCGCGGTGCTGCAGAGGAGGTACCGAGACCGGGGGTGCGGCCACCGGGGCGTAGCTTTCGTAGGTGGGCTGGGGCTGGGGCTGCATCGGGGCTGAAGAGGAGGGCACCGTGTAGTAGGTCTGCGGCATTGACATTCTCTGGTTGTACATGGCGATAGGGTTCGCCGCGGGAGCGAGAGAAACAGGCATGGAGTTGATGTAGCGGTGGTGGCTCGAACTGGATGCCCGCGTGTGCTTGGGCATGATACCGTGGGAAGATATGTTGTAAGAGGGGGCAACTAGAGAGTTGCCGTCAAGACGTAGGATAAGAACGAATGCAGATTAGAGGATCAAGCTGCGAAGAGAGAGTTGAAAGTGTCGAAAGTGAGAGTTTCGTTTCGTTGGTGTTCGTGCCTCGCCTGGAGGTAGACTCAGGAGAGAGGCCGATGATGGATACAGAGTAGTAATAGAGGAGCGAGATAGCGAATGGAGATGTGTAAGTCAGAAGAAACCTAGGAAATCTGGCTTAGGAAATGCTACGACGATGACGATGACGAAGACTTGGAAGGAAAAAAGGAAAAAGGAAAAGAGACGGAAAAGGAAATGTTGTGAGATGTTGTGAGGTTGCTTGATAGACTGAGGAACAGAAGGGTCAGAACCAGGTCGAGGAGGCGGATATTGGGTCTGACTTTAAGCAACATCACGGCCTACCGGGGGGACAAAGAGGCGAAGAAGCGCGGTCGAGATGAGACCGGGGTGGTGAAGATGTGAAACAAGACAGCATGGCTGCAAAAGAGCAGAATCGCAGCCATCGATGCCATGAAACCCGTCTCGTGTGTCCAAAAGAGCGGGCGTCCAGACAGAGGGCGGACGACATTGGCTGGAGGGATGGTGAAGATGGGCGTCTGTCTGGAGTTGGGCGCGTAGAACTGGCCGGGTCTGGAGGGCGGCTACGATGGAACTTGGCATGATCGGACGGCAGACCGGGGTGCCGAAGAAGGGAGCATACGGCTCAAACGGGAAGAGATTGGGGCCGGGAAAAGAGGGTCGAAATTAGCAAAAGTGTTGGGTATGAGTAGGCGCCAGCCTTGCCGCGGTCGCGAGGCTCCATCTGGAGAGGTTCGTCTGGGTTTAGGGCTGGATCATGCCACGACATACGTGGGGTTTGGCCGTCGATCAGTCTGCGGGCAAGGGTAAGCTTGTTCTGGGGAGCTGTTGGCACTGCTGGATTGTCAGTCTGTGATATGATGGTGTAGCAGTGAGGTTGAAGGTGGGCATGGGCTTGAGCATGAGCATGAGCATCGAGCCGCCGGAGTGCGTTGGAGCGGACTTGAGACCCCACGGCGGCGGCGAAGGAGCCAATTGGGGTCCGGGACGAGAAACGAGGCAGGGGAGGCGCATTGCATTGGAGGCGACTCTGCTCTCTCTGTCTCTCTGTATGTGTGCGCGCGCGGCAGGGTACGTAGCCAAGATGCCTTGCCGTAGACTTGCATCAATGGATGGAACGAGGGCGAGGACAATGCTGTGGTTGTTGGCGGACGGTGGTAGCGGCAGCAAGCAAAACGCATGCCTGGAAGCGACGCGCATACCGATTGACGGACAAGGGGTACCTCCAACGACTCTCTTTCTCTCTGTCTCGCTGGCTTGCTGGCTCGCTCTCGACGGGTAGCTCGCAGAGCAAAGCGGGTCATTGCATGGAATCTTGCATGCGCATAGCTGGATTCAGATGAACCACTCAATGGTCCAATGGCACAGAGATGGGCGAGAGAGAGAGGCAGAGAGCGAAAGAGAGGGCGAAAGGGGGCCTGGTGTTGTTCGAGCGGTTGTGCGCTGTCAAAGGTGGAAACGACGAAATGAAGGTTGACTTAGACGCGCGCCTGGAAGGCTGAGTGGAGCTGTTCTTAGCTTTGTGGGCCCTGGTGGATGGCGGCCGGGCCTCTGAGTGGCCAGGGCTGGAAATAGGCCCGCGCTAACTGTTTTCTGATCGACGTCTTGGTTCCACCGCGGGCCGGTGTTTCTCCACAGCAGCTGTGGGTTCCGGTACCTTACCATAGGTTCAGTGAGTGTCCCTGCCAATGCAGTGTCCCTACCACGGGCCCCGCGACCCTTTTCCTTCACCTTCTGGCCTCGCCTTCAAACCTTTTTTTCCTTCCCTTGCATCGCCATTTTCCTCAAGACGACCGAACCAACACAAGAACAGGGTTCAGCACGGGCACTTCATCTATCTCAGACAGCTACCGTGCAGCGTTTCTGCAGAGCAACCCTCGCTTCCCCCACACACAGCCGAGCGCTTGTTTCTGCAGGCGTCGGTCGAGGTGACGATGGCGGAGAAGAGACGAGCAGAGACGAGCAGAGACGAGCAGAGACGAGCAGAGACCGTCAACCCCACCGCCATGCGCCGCCTCAAGCGCGTGTCGTTAATAGAATATTTGTGTGCGCAGATCGCCAACGATGATTCCACTCGGAGCGCCTGTGACGTCCATGGTCCGCCGCTGAACAGCCTCGACAATCTCCATGATACCCCGTGTCTCTCCCAGCCTGAGACCTTTTCTATTTATTCGCAAAGCAATGCCTCCGTCGTTCGACATGAGGCAGACAGGCCACCACCGCCACTTGCAAGACATGGAGATATGATGATCCCGCAGCCTCGACAGGCGGACGTTTTCCTCGAGTCTCACGACTGAAGATGGTCACAGATGTGCCGTAGATCAGAAGTCAAAGCTGGACGATCCTCGACATCCCAGACAGCACGGCAGATAGATGGTAGCGGCGATACTGCGGAGATTCCCATTGCACATCTGCGGTCATTAGCTAATCGTTGAAGAAAACCCGCGAGGACGGTTATCCATGGGTAGCCTACCTTCCGTCATTTGTGGCTGATATCAGCGCTCAGCTCCGGCCCTGCCAAGACACAAGCCGTTGACGGGGCTCTTTGCTAATTCCCGGCGATGCATTCCAGAGTCGATCGTTGACACTGGAATCCAGCCAGGGGTCGAGTCAGAAGGTCCAGCCACAGGTGCCTGACAATTGCCGGTGGCAAGCCCGACGGAGGAGTTGAGGCTAAGGCTGGTGCTAGCAGTTCTAGATGTCGACACGCACACCTGGCTCATCTCTTTGCCCCTTTTCGTACCTGTCAGAAGGCAGTTAGGCCCAATTGATCCTCGGAACCGGAACTCTTCACGAGATGGCGGCGGCCAATAGGGGAGGTGCGGGGTGCGCCTCCCGCTGCTAAGGTAAGGTAAGCCGGCAATGTCGATGAGGGGTAAGGTACCCTGGCTAGGTAGTCGGATGCTCTGGCCCCTCCAGCTTCTTCCTTGGTGCTTTGGGAATTTAGAGTGTAAGCATCCTACCTTACCTTAGGTATTGAGTCGTGTGCTTCACCACGTGCCCGGGGCATCCTCAGGTACTTGGCGTTTGGCGTTTGGCGTTTGGCGTTTGGCATCGGGGACATTTCCGAGCATCTCAGACTTTGAGGGAAATCAGGCAGATCTGCCATCTGTGCCCGAGAGAGGCAATTACCACAGCTCCTTTGTCTAGGCCAAACCCGACTGACAGCGACGGTTCCACGAGGCTTACACGCGTCCCCGATAAGGCCCAGGGTCCCCCCCCCCCCTGCTACCTCCCCCATCTGGACCTCCTCATGTTCGTGTCAACAGGGTGTCAAAGGGGCTTTTGGTGTTTGCTGCCCTTTTCCATCTGCTCTTCTTCAAATCTCACCTCTCCCCTCACTTCCTTTGGTCAGCAGCAGCCTTGGCCTTGGCTCTGTCTTTTTACTCTTCAATCCTGAGCATTCACTGTACTTTTGACTCAGGTTTAAGTAAAACCTCCTAACAACACTACCCAAGGTAAACCAACATTCTTACACACAAAAAGACAGCTGTCTGAGACAAAGGTAGGCATATCTGCTAAACACAGCTACCCCTCCTCCGCATCGTACTGGAAGAACGCTTTTTCAAGCCATCATATGAATGTTTGTTAGATCTCCCAAGCTTACACACGCACGTCCAGCAGATCCCCTCCCCTCTGTTGTTCTTCCCAGCTGGGAGGACAGCCTTGAGATTGCCGCTCCTGCGTTTTCGCACTACCCAGGGGTCTTTGATCCATTCACCTTTACACCCAGACATTTCCCACAAAGCAGCCTCTGCCTACTTTCTCACCTCAACCTGACAAAAACACCAACACCCTCCCAGAAGTGCAGCCTTGTGCAGACCATCTACACTGCACCGCCAGCACCATGGATTCCGATACCAACTTCACCCACTCCGCCTCTGAGGGCTATACGACGCGCATCATGGACATCACCGTCGCCATGCCTGCGACCCTTCCCACCCTGTCCATGCTGCTGTCTCTCCTTGCAGGCTACCTCGTCCTGTGCCATTCTCTCCGCTTCAGACGCATCAATAACCTCCAGAAGCGAATGGGTTACACCGACCGCGCTTCCCTCGCGCGCATGACCAACAACGATGCCCAGCTCATCCTGAAGCACATGATTGAGTTTGAGTTCCCCAAGTTCTACACCTTGGCTCTCCAGTTCGCCATCTTCAAGGTATTTTTCCAATCGTTCCCATCCATGATCAAATTGGTCCCTCAGTCAATCTGACAACACCACTCCAGACCTACGGCTTCGAGACCATCTCCAAGCTCATCGTTGCCACCAAGAACCTCGCCGACCCAAAGAATGCTCAGAAGCGCTACGAGGACACCGTCATCATCTTTGGCGAGTTCTCCATGAACCCCCCGACCTCGGACCGCTGCCTCAAGGCCATCTCCCGCATGAACTACCTCCACAGCGGCTACAAGGCCCGCGGCCAGATCTCCAACGCCGACTTCCTCTACACCCTCGCCGTCTGCGTCACCGAGCCCACCCGCTTCATGCAGCTCTACGAGTGGCGCTCCCTCACCGACATGGAGCTTTGCGCCATCGGAACCCACTGGAAGGCCCTCGGCGACTCCATGGACATCCAGTACAAGGGCTACCTCTCCCAGGACTCGTGGGCCGACGGCATTGAGTTCGCCCGGGACATCACCGATTGGGCCAAGCGCTACGAGATCGACGCCATGAAGCCTCACAAGAACAACATCCAGGCCAGCGCCCAGCTCATGGAGATGATGATCTGGCACGTCCCCAAGTTTGCAAAGTCTTTTGCCCAGGAGGTTCTGACCGTGCTCATGGGCGACCGCATCCGCGACACCTTTTGGTGAGTACAGTACTCGTGTGCCCGGCTTGGCTTGCTTGGCCTGCCTCAGCTCTCTCTTACACATGAGGCCTGCCGCTGACGTTGAGATATCAGCTTCGCCGAGCCAGGCATCTACGCCTCCTTCACCGCCTACGCAGCCCTCATCGCTCGTCGCTTCGTCGTCCGCCACCTCATGCTCCCTCGCTTCTCCCCCGTCGTCTTCTTCTCTGAGCCCGATCCCAAGACCGGACGCATCCAGCACCATGAGTACCTCGTCCACCCTCACTACATCCCCGCCACATTCTGGAACCGTTTTGGCCCGATGAGCTGGATCACTCGCATCCTGGGCGGCACCGTTCCCGGCGCGGAGAAGATGATGCCCGAGGGCTACCTCTTTGAGGACCTTGGGCCCAAGGAGAAGATGGGCAAGGGCGTGGAGGAGCTGGCTGACGGTGTCGAGGACCTCAAGTCTCGCGGCCGCGGTGCTTGCCCTTTCTCTGGTGCTTGTCCCTACTCCGGCTAGCGGCTTTGCCCGGCGATACTTTTCAGTTATCCTCTTTCTTTCTGTTCCCTTCTCCTCTATTCTTCGCTCGCGGGCCTGATGGCATTCGAGATGAAAAAGGTGGATTGGCATTATCACGAGCAACGGCTTCCCGTTAGATATACACATGGAGCATGGAAGCTTTACCATGGGGCGTTGGGGTAGCGATCACAAAGCAAGCAGGGCTCGGGCTTTTCTCTTCTTTTGTATCATTGTAGATTCGCTCTTGGCATCGGTCGGCTGCGTACAAATCCAAGAGGCCGCTTATACATATTTCTCTCAAAACATCCGCTCTCCAATTTCCCCGTGCAATCGTTGCCACGGGCTTCAACTTGCGTCGCTCTCCTGGGGGAATAATGCTGCATCGGACATGCTATCATAACTTCATTACCTCCACACCCCCCCATGGGGCCGAGATCTCCCCGAGTCTGTTGCAACAGCTCGAATCACGATCCAGCTATGCCGAGACCGACGCGGCCTTGACTGCCGTACGGCGCCATGCCCGCACTCATACTCGTACCCGAGTTGGTCCCGGTACGCTCGCGCATCCTCCGACCCTCCATGAGCCCACGCAACCCGCGCTTTTGCAGGCCAATGACGGAGCTCAGCTCGCCGCCCCAAATCTCGCGCATGCCTCCACGCTCGGAATCGCCAATTTCGGAACTCCATTCTGACCCACTGACGCTCGTCGTGGCACTGAGCTCGTCGCTAGATGGTCGACCTGAAGACATGGCCGTGTTGATGCGTAAACCTCCCGCGCGAGAAGAAAGACTCTGCAGATCTGCACTGCTGCCGTTTTGAGAACCGTCGGGATAGAGCGGGGAGCCCATGGCGTCGACGGGAACGAAGAAATTGGGATTGAGGGAGCCGTCGATGCCGCGACCGCCACCGGCTGCCATGGCAGTTGCGTTAAACACGGCGGCCGCGTTTCTTGAGTCGAGTAGCGCGTGAAGACGTTCGACGACCGCCTCCAGCAGACCGTCGATTTTGTATGGTCGAGCAATCTGCAGAAGAGAGCAGAGGATAGGAGGCGTACACAGGGGAGACGACGGCGGCGGCAGCGACGACGTGTAGAGGAAGTGAAGCAGAGCCTGGACCGTCAGGTATGTGTGAGGAAGGTAGAGGCACCGAGGTCGCGAGTTGGGCGGCAGAGATCTCGGAGTCGGCGCCGAGTTCACGGTATTCGGGTCGGCACCACCTGAACCGGGAATGGAGAACGAGGCCGCGGAGGCGCTGGTCGGAGCTGTGCTGAGAGGCTTGGCCGATGATCCAGACGAGAGCACTGTGCTGGCCACAGAGTTCGTGCTCTCGTGGGTGTTACGAGATGGCGTGATGGTCAAGACGGAGTTTCTGACCGCACTGCCGAGACCGGACCGCAAAGTCATTGCATCGCTGCCGTCCTGAGTCGCCGTGCCCTCCCGCAGGAGCTGGACAAAGTATGGACCCCAACGCCGGGCGACGATCCTGGAGTTAATAGGTATTCTTTCTCCATGCAAACACAGTATATCCATATCGGACAGCTCACGCAAGGCAAGTGCCTTCTCTCCGAGTTCTTCGGCAGCCTTCGAGTGGAAGCGTCCGCCTGCTGTAGAACCCGCCTTCCTCGCCAAGCTCAAGCCAGGGCCGGTGTAGGGGCTGCTTGCAGACACGAATCCGGACATCGGGCTCGTCTTTCTCGGGTTGTCGTAGAAACCAAACGCTTCCAGCTCGACCATGCAAACGTTGGAAAAGTTGATTCGCCGATGATTATAGTCGTCGACGAGGCTTCTTTTCCGGTTGCCCAGAATCACAAACGTATTTCTCCGGTTCCATAGCACACCACGGTTCCAGCTGCCTTGGCTGAATACGGCACCGCCCGCATCGATTCGTGACCAGGTCAGCGTCTTCAGATCCAGGGCCCACAGCGCATATTCTTGCTTCGAAGATGTGAGATATGTGCCGCTAACAACAAAATATGTGTCGATCACGCCACCGTTGGGGAATCGCAGACCCGGGGGTGAATAGGAGCCTGACATGGGCTTTTCTGTCAAAGTGCCGTCCGAAGATCTGATCTGAAGCTCGAGCTTGACGTCCAAGAAGTTATAGTTGGAGTAGATCAGCATCGAGGATCCGGCCTCTCGGGATTCTTGGCTCACGTTGCCGCCCTGCTGGAATCCATTCAAGCTTGACTTGCCAATACGCGTGCTGACTGAAGGAGGCAATGGCGCGACGACGCTCCGATAGGCGCCGCAGCTCTTATCCAATGGCTCAATCGAGGTCCACTTGAGACTGCGCAGGTTGAACACGCTAATCTGTTCGATGTAGTGGTTGGCGCCGTCCTGCCCACCCACGACCACCATCTCAGCGCCGCCGGAACCATCAATGTTGATTCCTATCCTGCCTTCGTTGGGATTTCCTGATGATGGGTTATGTTGAAGGGCCGACAGCGGCGCCTTGTGCGATGTAAAAGTTGCCGAAGTAGGTAGGATGCAGGCGCAATGCGCGTAGCGACCCTGAGGAACATCCTGCGTGGGAATAAACGTCCACTTCCGCGTCGGCACATCGTAGATATAAATGTCGGACATGACCGTCACCTCGGGCTGCTGGTCAGGACCTGCGCCGGTTTGGTTAGGCGTTGGCGACATGCCTCCGTAGCAAACCATCTTGGTGTCGCCGAGGGGGCACATGGAGTGAAAGTAGCGCGGCGGTGGGATGTCGCCTGACGCTTCTAGCTTCGACCAATGCCTGCGGATAAGGTCAAGTTCGTAGAGATCCGACGTCAGTGGAGCCGGCCGGCTTCTAGACAGTATTCTTCCTCCAAAGACGTATAGCTTGTCGCCCAATATGGTCGTCGTGGCTCCGACGAGCGGGTGCGGCTCTCTGCCGGTCGTACGGTGCACGTTGCACATGAGGCCGGACAGGTGCGCCGATGATGAGGGGGTAGGAGTGCCGGCGGCTGAAGGAGCTCTGTTGGGTTGGGACGAGGGTGAAGGGCCTGCAGATAACGGGCCATTACTCCGTGGCGTCAGGTTTTCACGCATCTCTTCGCCTCCATCTTGCCTGGACGAGCTTGCCAGGCTGCTCTGGCTGCTGGACATGTCTGCGTTGTATCCTGTTCCGCTGCTGTACATCTGTGCTCTGTCCACCGATATGCTCGAGTCCATCGTACTCGTGCGACTTTCCATATCATCGGCCGGAGCCTCTTCGATAGCACCAAGACTCGCGTAGTTGTAGTGTGTGGCAGCAGGGGTATCGGGGCCGACGGGCGAGGTTTCTGGTGGCGGTTCGGGGAGGGGTTTGGCGAGACTGCTCTGTAGGCTCAGACTCCTTGCATGCTGAAGAGCACGAATCTTGGAAGAGCTTGAGCCTGGAATGGGCGTCGGTGTCGCGGACGGGGGCGGAGAGGGGGAAGAAGTCAAACTCGGGGAGTTGCTGTTGAAACCGAGGCGGGACAGTGACGGCTGTCTGGATAGCTTGGAAGAGTCGTCTCTGCTCGGAGCGAATTTCTTGAAGCCCCGATAAACGCCCGAGAGGATATCGGCCGTGGTCTTTCCGGAGGGGGGCGACCGGTCCTGCTCCGTCTCCGAATCGGAAAAGCGGGAGAGGTCTGACTGATTCGAGGTTAGTCCCGAGCCAGACATTGCGGCGGTATCAACCCGCAGGCTGCATAAACAGCCGCAGCAAGTAGCGCAAAGTCAAATCGGGTTCGGCAATGTCGAGGGGGGAAACCTCAGAAGCTCGAAATGGAGGTTGGGAGGGTTTGCATGTGGTGTAAGAGGGGCGGGATCGTGGGTATGGGGTGATCAAGCGCAAGAGGTCAACAAGGACCGGTCCAAGACAAGATCGTCGAGGTCTGCCGTCGACACCAATGCCTTAAACCAGCGAGTGCCCCCCCAGAAGAGAGTAGTAACAATGACGGGAAATGGGAGGACCGAAGCAAAAGAGGAGCGGTGGAGGCGGAGGAGCAAGCGACGGTCAAGTTATCGTTGCTGTTGTTGGTGGTGTAGTCTCAACAACGTAACGACAACAAGACCAGGCGAAGACACAAGAAGACGGAGAGAGAGCCGAGCCGCAAAAAACCAGAAGCCAGGTTAAGATGAAAAGAAGAAAAGAAGCGAAAAACAGAGCTATCTTGGATCGAACGGGGACCCTGGATCAAGCGACTCAGCCAAGGATGATTCGTTCGCCTGACTCTGCTAGGGCCCCTGTCCGGATGACGGGTACAGCTCTGACAGTGGTTCTGGCGGCGGTTCCGGCTGGGATGCTGACCGAGGCTCCAGCTTCAGTCTACAGAAGACTGGCTAACGGTTGTTTGTGGTTCTCTCTCAAGAGGCAAGTATGGCATGCCTAGGTCTCCGTCTTTGTCTCTTTCTCCTGAGTGTGGTGAAGGTGTGTTGTGCGTGTGTATGTGTAAATGTGGGATATGTGTGGATATGTGTGTGTGTGTGCGAGTGTCTGTGAGGTGGACACGCCTGGCTGGCTGGGCTGGGCTGGGCTGAGCAGACAGGCCTTGCCCGTATGGTTTTGTGCGTGTTTCTGGGCTGGCTCTCCGTTTCTGCCTTTGCTCCCCACAGTTGACAGAAAGCGGCGCACAAGAGATAGAGTGGGATGTGGGCTGGGTAGTGGAGGGCTAAATGGGACAGGATCAGGATGGGGATGGGGATCAGGAGGGGATTAGGACCTGGCAATGGGCATGGGAGGAGGGGAGGGGACGGCACGAGGCAGAGCAACGCAACAGCAGACAGGGCAGATGAAGGGCAGCGCGGAAATCAGAGTTGGATAGACAAAAGCGCAAGGTACGCACCTTGAACCGGGGAGGCGCAGGGTGTCGAATTCTATCAACGGGGTTCGAGGACAGATTTGGTCAAGACGGATCGCGGCGCGGGCGACTTTGGTCCCGTCGAGACGAGTCGATCGATTCCAGGAAGGTAGGTAGGAAGTGTATTCGAACCAGGCCTGCTGCGAAGGAAGCGAGTTGTTTGCTGCTTGCCGATGCTTGCTGC